GTCCCTTGGATTCCTCATCAAGTAATGACCACTAGCCACTAGGCAAGGAAATCAAAACACACTAAGCAGAAAAGTTTGAAGAAGGTTCATAGAAACATGGTTGATCAGACTCAGATGCAAGTAGGCAGTGGCGCTAATGGAAGAGCATAAAAATGTCACAGTCTTCAGGAAATGTTTATCTAGATGATTCCATTAAAATGTTGTGACTGGAGGATGTCTTTAAGATGATTAGAGGAAATGGGGTCCAATATACTTTTTGAAGAAAATGTAGGATAGTTGGGACTTCGTCTCACCATGCTCAATAAACCCCTTCATAAATACACTAAAATAAAAACAAAATCTTGAGCCTGTACAAAGTGGAAAAATCATGTAAAATTGAAAGTGAAACCAGTACATGTATGTGTCAGCAGTTATATAACACATACAGTATACCCCAGCGGAGATAACTCCTTCCCTCAACAGTATCTCCTTAGGAGTCAGCCTAAAAGTGTGAAGCTAATTTTGAGCAACAGTAAAGACATTTTCACACAAACAATTAGCATGCCTTTGCATTAATCCAAACTTGTTTGAATTGCAGTGGCAATAGAATTCTGCTGACAAGTAAGCCAAGTCAAAGGAAATGAACATACAAAATAAGGGAAGATTCCACTAAACAGCAAACACTATCAAACATTGTTAGGTATTTGTATATGGTACCAAAAGGGGTAAAGACCAGAAAACACATCAATGAAAGGGATTCTCAGATGCCTGTAGTAATGCTGGAAAACCTCTGTCTTATGTACTTTGATTCTGAAATAATCTTGTACACATTGAATGTAACCAATGACACAGGCAAAAAGACTAGCAATTTTTTTGCAGGCTTGGACCCTTTATACTATCATATTATTTGTATCACACAGTGGCACATTTCATGCTTTTTAGAAATGAACAGGATATTATAAAGTCTAACCAAAACTGTCTGCAGTCGATATTTATGCATAACTTACTTTGTTTCAGTCTTGCTCCCAATAAGCTTGCAGGCACATAGGGGACCTTGACAAAAGTCTGTAGACTACAATTAGAATTCTAGTGGTGCCTTAGGGAAATGGATATTTTTGTGAGTTTTAAATGCAATTTTAATTCAACACGATAAGTAAACCAAACAAAGTTTGTGCCCTTTGACAGTCTGCTCCCAAGCTACTCCAGAATGAATGAAACTCTAATATAGTAACAACCAATGATCAGAATATGACCAGCAAGATGTTTACACACGACTGGGACTGGTATTAGGCAAAATCAAAAGAGGGGTTGCAAAATTTTTAAGTATTTCTGGCAAAGAACAAATGATTTTGCTGGCAGAGGGCCTTAACCCAGCATTGAAAGGTTTGTTTGTGGCTTTATAAACTGATATAGCAACTTAAATTAAAAGTACAATATCATGTCTCCTTATTAGACTCTCTCCACCTCCCAAACTAAACAAATGATTTTTACCTGGATTCTTCAGACACTTGAGAGATTACATTGCAAAGAAACTTATAACCTGGAAAAACAAAAGTTCAATTCACTGTTTTGAAAAAGTTCCAAATGGTAGGTGCTACTCCACTGCCATGATGGAAAATCTCTCTTCCCTTATCAAGAATTTGTAATAAAAATTTTCTATTTTATATTCTCTTATGTTCCTAGCTCAGAAGACAAGACCCTTATTTTATAACTGCACACCAAAGAAACACAAAACCCATTATGGAGGAAACTCTCACATTGTGAGTATCTCTCCATAAGAAAGCTATCGTCAGTTCTCTTTTCTGAAAAATTGGTAAAGGAGGGAACTCTTTCTGGTAACTGCAGGTTTCCTTAAAATTCAGTGGTAGAAGGAGTAGACAAAAGACTTCTCTGAAGGTAAATATTTAAAAACTTTGAAATAAAACATTATCCTTCATGAACAAATCTGTAATACTCTGCAGTTCACAGGGACAGGATGTTGGTAGAGGAGGACTGGGAATCCCATACATCTGCCTGTAAGCTGGACTGAAAATCAAGGACAGAACTCACGTTGGTGCAATTGTGGTGGCAGGAGCAAACTGCTGCTGCTGACCCTAGTCTCCAGGTACACCGATGTCACAGAAGACTAGTTCACTACTCCAAATAAATTTCTTAGCCCAGCTGGTAAGAAGCAAGTAGAATATTCAGTTTCCAGAGACTACATTAACCTGACAAATCAGTTATTACAGAGAACGTGACGATGATAATGTAAAATAGCAAAGGAAAGAGTACTGTTCATATTCTTCTTTATGAACACAACATGCGCACACACACACACACACAAATGCTTCTTAAAGAGGAAAAATTTAATTAAACATCAGTTTGTTTAAGAGAGTACGAGGGCTGTCTTTGTTTTATGGATGTCAGACTTCGTGGTTTGGTATGAGGCAAAAATTACATGACTGGATTGTTGCAGAGCTACAAGGCGAATGGAAGAAACAAGATGTATACTTGCTTGCAAGCATTCTGGTAGTTTCTTAACAAGTTCACAGCTTTCAAGAGATTCAGCTTTCAGGTAATTAAGACAAAATTTTTATTTCCTGTTATTTCACTTTTCTGTCAGCTACAATAAAAATCTGAGGGTCTCATTTTCATTTATCCATGGATCCTTTCATACTACCTGGACTCCACCGTAACTGAGAATAAAGTCTCTAATATTCACTTTGTTTAATATAAAACAAATTCAGTTTTAATGTCCCAAGGTCCCAGGATTCCAAGACGTAACTAACTGGTAGTATTAAAGGAAACAAATCTCTAGAAACAGATGTATCTAGTAAGCAGCCTATTGCTAGCTTTCTTCCTCTGAGAAGTACTGTGTTATAAGCACTAGAGGATCATACGGCCCAGGGGAATAAGGTCATAGACATCGACATTAGTACATTTCTTAATTACTAACAACAATTTTATAATTTCATACCATTTCATGATCATTTTCTCAAAGGTGCTCAGCTAGTTATTCATTAGGTACTTAGAATACGTAAGGAGGCACATGTACCTTGCCAATATTTTGTCAGATATAATCTGTTAAGGAATTGCCACATTATATAGGTATGTCTTCTATAACATCAGTGTTTCCAGTTCTCTCGTTACTCCATTAGAAGATCTGCTCTTGCCTTTGGGCTGATATTAGATGTTCTGTTATTTACCTTCTTTAGTGACATTTTCAATTGAGTTACCTGACCATGGAGGAATTTTGACATGTTAATTCATTTACGAATACTATTTCTGCATCACACTCTAAGAAATGAGCTGGAAATAATGAGCTCCAAAGCTCTAAGTAAAAAGCTTCAAAAATAAAACATTTTCAAAATCTATAAATATCAAATAGATTATGTAGTATTTGTGGAGAAATAATTAAATTAAGTTTTCCCAAAATTAAAATGCATTGATCTAATCGTTGAGGAAGAAATGTTTGTGGATTTGGATTATTTTTTTTTTCCAAGTTGAAAAGGAAAGTAGCATAGATTTATATGCACAATTCAAATTTAAGTAAAAAACAAGTAATAATTTAGCCTATATTTGTGCCTCTGAAATACCACAAGTTTGGCTTAGAGGTAAATTTATCAGAATCACTTAGACAGGAAACTAACATCGACCAGCTTCCTTAGTAGTACCAAAATACAGAAGCACCAGTTAACTCTAGCCATCTGCAGTAACAAAAATTTGTCTTTAGCATTTCTCAGCCACTCTTACTCATTTGCCCTTATCCTTCAATCCATCTTTAAATCTCATTTGGTATCTATGCTCATTTTTACCGATTTGTCTATTTAACCCTACTAACAGGCAATTTATCTTTTTTTTTTTTGCCACAGCAGTTTTCAACTTTGCTTTTGTTATTCTTTTTCAAGACATAAAATAGTTTTTCAGTTGAGGAACACATAACTGGAAGGGATCTACAGGATCAGTCCTGAAAGTAATGTCAGAGAGAACTGCTTTGTTAATTCCTTTACATATCAATCAAGTTCCATCTTCCTCACCACTATTTCTACTGGAAGACTGTGGCTGAACTTCACACCACCCGATATTTCCTTTTATTATTCAGCCTAAAATTTATTCACGGTCAAGTGCATCCATTCATTATGTCAACACCATCCTTGGTCTGTTAATAAATATAATTAAATATCCTTTTAATTTTTGCTTTGTTAAGGTCAACCAGCCATGCTTTCTTAATCACTACTCAAGTGGCTTTTTCTTCGTGTCAGAATAGTAAACATTTTCTACACTTCCACTATTCCAGATTGGATTGCACTAGAACCTGTATAATGCTATTAATAGTCTTTCTATTTGGAAATAATCTCTTGATATCTTGTACATTTTATATATATACACACACAACCTCCAAATCTACAAATCTGATTGTAAAATTATTTTATAAATTATCTCTTTTCTTAATAAAGAGTAGACTAGCAACAGATTTCAAAACAGTAATTACTAACAATTTTGTCATGCATAAAAATTCATCCTCGTGTATATTCTCTTGGAATCTACTATTTTTGGGGTAAATTGTTAGATTTTTTTAGAGTACTCTAGGTGGATGGGTTCTATAAATGGGATAACCTGAAGTATTTTAATTAAAAGTAACTACATTCAATGCCAAAATGATAAACGACCACCTATAATACCCTAAAAAAACATTTTCAGAAGAGAAACACAGAAGGTAAAACAACAGTGCTAGAAAGTAAATGTAAGAAACTGAGCCACTGAAGTCATCCTGCTG